ATGAATCAAAGCACGGTTTAGAAATCTTGAGAAACTGAAGGGAGAAAAGGAAAAAGAGAATACATCGTAGAAACGTCAAGATTTAATTTGATGTTTGACAGATACACGAGAGAAGAATAACAGATTAGGTAGCAGAAGTTTAAGCACTAACTGAGTTTGAGACGGGCCTTAACTGATTTGCTTTTGAAGAGAGAAATTGATATCCAATAAGACATTTTAATTGTCTCATATGGGGTCTCAGATTAATAAGGCGTCGATGTTGGTCTTCTGATTTGTAATGACGTATGTATGTACCAACGTTTCAGAGGTAATTACTGCTCCCATCTTCAGAAAAGCCCTGATGATGGTGGCAATATATCTGTAACAAAGGTGGTATCTTCCTACTAGTCCGCGACGTTACAGCCAAGAAAAGAAACATTGTCTCCATTATTTGTTGTTTTGTTGCGGTTTTAGACGGTAAATAAGGCATGTGTGTTAAGATAGGTAGGACAGCGGTCTCCGTTAGGGACAGAGAATACTTAGACAAGTAGCTTGATGTTTTAATTTAAATGAAATTGCATCATATAGCCGTATTAACTACATATGTCCCGAAACTGTGTCAAGTGACAGAATTAGACCACATAAACGTTTACAGAATTGTCGATGGCTTACAGCGATAGACGAATTACACAGAAATTTGACATTTCATTAACACAAAATTATGGATTCCTACTATAATCCGCCCAATGATAGGTGTTTGATCATTAAACGTATGGTAATATTATGATTGAACACATTTAATATAATGTTGAAATATTTAATGTTGAATTAAAAATTCATGTTATAAAATACGAGCGTATGTCGTGTTTTCGTGTGACTGAAATCACTGTGTGTTTCAGAACAGAGTCCTACTTGAGAAACTAATAGTACTTTCAGCTAGTCAAGAAATTGCCCGCCTTTTATGAAAACCGAATGTTCATTGTCGTACTTACAAAAGCTCGCCGCTGGCCCCTATCTTGAGTCACATGGACCCAATTCACATCCACGAAACCTATTCACCCCCCCCCCCCCCCAAGATCCTGCTTATTTTATCACTCTTAATATTTGGTGGAGATTACAAAGTATGAAGTCCTTATTACATATTTTTCTGTAGTCTTTTGTCACTTAATCTGTCTTAGGTCCTAATACAAAATAAGGCATATCCTTGTTTATGTTAATACACCCCTTTATTATGAATATAAATAAACGCTGCTTTATTGATCGCATGTGTAAGTTGTTCGATTTTTGGTTTCAACAACACAAATAAATTTTTTCTGCATTAAAAACGCACATGCAAAGAATATCTTTTGATAATTGCTATATAATCTTTTGATTTTAGCGATTAAGAATTGGAAGTCTATTTTCTTATTAGTTTTTTTTCACATAAAAGTTAATTTGGTTGCGTTTGTGATCCGCTGTTATGAAACAAGAATTCTTTACAGGTACTTTTCGATTTTATTAACTTTATATTCAACAGGATGTACTGAAGTAGCAGCCAATATTAGGCCGGGGTATACCCGCACTCTGGGTTACGTTGTAAATGTCCTCTGATACCGGGGATGCAAAAGTGGTTTGCGGCCAACATTTTAATCACCCATAGTCTATTATGAGGTTTTGAATGGGGCTTGTATGTAAGAGAAAATACTGTGACATTCTGGTCTGCTCATGTTGCGGAATGAATTTTAAAGTCATTATGGTGCTGATCAAAGAACAGTCTACGTGACGTAATTAAAATCGGCCAGTCAAGTGAAACAATAAAATGGTGCAAACCCACTGTTGTTCTACATTAATTAATATGAACTTTGTTCGTTACAGACGTTTTGACAATCATTTGTTGCGGTTTAGTGACTGTAGGTGTTTTTGTTTTTGGAATCAGTGAGTGGCTGTATGATAGTCAATCTAGACATTTATGTACGAAATAAAAAAACTGGAAACGAAGCCTTCTAGACCTCTGTCGTTCACATACGTAATTATGTTTGAGGTCTTGGAAATGAGAGTGCGTTGAAGAATTTTATTGAAACTCGAGGCGGGGCAGGTGAAGTGTGTCTCTCGACACGCAGCTGAGAGGCCAAGTTTGGTTCACTGCCTACTGTGCCACTTCCCAGAACTGACTCACGCGGCATCTGCCGACAAACAAATAGACTAGTGACTCACTAGTGCTGCATTAACAAAAGAATTGCAGATATCTTTGGCTTCGCTCTGCAGTTTGCAGGTGCACATTGTGTCAGGTTATTTTTATAACAATATTCTTTTGATGTAATCGTAATTTTATAAAGCTCATAATCGTTTGTCTCGTTCTATTTTAGAAAAGAAAACCCTTGATGAACAAAATCAAATATATGGTTCGGTGAGATTGTGTGTAAGGTTGCGTACGTGGCGTATGATGGGGTTCATCATCAGGGCGGCTCATCGCCCTAATGGTGGAGGCAGGAAATACATCTAAAATATTCGTAAACGTTTACCAGACTATACGGCGTTGCAATCCATAAGACGGTATTCTGCATAGCAGCCGCTGTGGAAATTTCAAATCCTACTTTATTAAGGTATTAGCTCTATAGATTAATGAGTTTATTGGCAAATGAGATATGGCGATGTGACTGGTATTGGTACTATCTCTTTATTTATCTGGAGAGACTGAGGGAAACCGTGAAATATTTTAGTTAGTATATTTGGTCCCGTACCGAGATTTCAACACAGTACACACAGTATTCAAGCGAAATGCCTCTTAGATTGTCAGCCTTCTCTGCAAACGCGACTCACAGAGTTGATGTTGGAATATATAATAGGAGATTCATAATTTATGTCCGTAATAAAATATTATGAGAGCAATAAAAATGTTAAGTAGGTCTATGAGAGGCCGTAAAATGTAAGCAAGCATGCGGGAGGGACGAGAAATGCGTACGAAATTTGGTCAAAACATGTTAAAGAAATAAGTCATTTGGGAGACGATGGATTCAACCAAATTATGACAGCGTTCAGCCACTGGTTTTGACATATTTGACGATAAATTTTAGTGTCCGATTAAGGCTGGTTGTTCATATTTCTGACCAACTGAGCAACTATCATCTGGCATACGAGGACCTTACTCCATGGCGACAGATTCGCATGCAAATGTTAATTGGACGTAGGACGATGTTTAAAAATAACTTCTCAAATATGCATGTTCTTAAAGTGCAGCAGGAACTGGGCATTGATTTTCTATCAGATTACTAGGAAGCGTCACAGTATTCACAGAAACATATAAACGCATCAGAGAGCGATCATTCATGAACAAATAAATTAACTCCAAGGAGGAGAGTAATTCTTGAGAAGTTAATAGTTGGTTCGCTAATAAAGAAAATTTTCTCTCTTTATGGAACCAAAAGAATTATTTCAATGTTTAGAAGGTCTGGCCGCTGAACCCTATCCTAACCCATGTAAATGCAATACGCATTTTTGCACCCGATATTGAATCCACCCGTCCCACTAATATAAATATTGTAAAGACGTCTGCCTTCTGGCTTGTTGCGGCATGTAGTCTGGTGGACTGACGTTTCAGAGGTACTTGGTGCCTCCATCATCAGGGCGATGACCAGACTACACGGAGCAGCAATCCGGAAGACAGCTTCAAGCTTCAAATTCGGATGGGGAACCTTAAATGTCACACAGAATTTGTGTTCATGCCCTGTGACAGGGAAATGCCGATTTTGGTCCTTAGTTCTCGCACTTCGCTCATTTCAGTCGATAAATTCTAGAATGACTTGTATTTTTAGATTATGACTCTTGAAGGTAGGTAATCAGTTGTGGTCAGAGACTTGACAGTTCTGAATTGTTACACCTGAGTTTGGAACATTTTATATACCGTAGCTTCCGTGCCAAATTTCTCTGCTTGAGCTAATTCGTTGGGAGGTTAACTTGCTGACAGCAACCCATTACGGTAATTAATCTACAATAGAAATTTCTTTCTTGCTTTCACGTAACGAGCCAAATGTGTTAGTCACATACGAATCTAGCGAATAGGACTCGTCATACAGATTAAAATTAGTGGTACGTTAATAATAACCATTGCATTTTAAATAGGCGTGGTAAGTTATAAAATGCTTGTAACTTGCGGATGACTGTCGAAAATTATCGATCTCATGAGTTTTTCGCCTACGTTTACATACTTTCTTAATGACGTTTGACTTGCATCAGGCTGGAGAGAAATTAAAATTCCTTTCGCTCATTAATGCCGTAAGGAGTCAGACAACTATCATTCACCATTTAATGAACACATTAAATAATAAAAGCTGGATCTTGTCTTTCGAAGCTTGATAACTTACCACGAAAGTTAAACATGATTACTGGAATGATAATTTGAAAGTGAAGTA